TCTATATATATATATATATATATATATATATATATATATATAATATATATGTGTGTGTGTGTTTGCTTTTAAGCATACTCATTTTATCAGCCAAATCATGCATGTTCTCCTCTCAACACATTTATTACTTTAGAAATTACGCGACTCAAGTTCGTTCTTAATCGCATAATAAATAAAATCTGTGCTCATATATTGTTTAATCCACGTTATATGCATATGAACCAGATCTGTATAGAGCATTATGTTGTCACTTTATATACGTCAGATTACGCAGACCATTTGAACACTTGTTAAATATAATTATTTGGTAATTAGATCATAAGTATGCGAGTCTAAATGCCTTCTTTCCGCTCATGTACAGCCCCAACACAAAATCAAACCAAATCTTCCTGTGACTCATTAATTAATCGAAGTAATTAAAAAAAACATTACGATATTCGTAATTAATTACCTGTCTGGAGAATAAATTTAAGAATATATTATATTCTTAGTTAGTTTATTCCCAAGGCAATTAATTAAGAGATGACAATATCCTTAATTGATTACATGTCCCAGGAATAGAATAAAAATAAATATACATAAAAATATAAAATTCATGAATTTTTCTCGAAATGAGAGAATTCCAAAGGGAAGAATATTTTTGTGCGAGTTATCACTACTGTATTAAAAGTGTAAACGAAATGTATAATTAAATGTCTGATAAGGCACAAATATTTAGGTTTATTGGTATAATGTTAACGCTAGCTTTTGTTTTAAATAAGGAAAACATGGAAACGATATCAGGCTTCAAATCGATTCTTATAATCTATTGTAAAAACATCGTTTGAATGTTTGAGCCTCGAAATCGTAATGAGATAATTACAACACTTCAAACATAGAAACAATTGTCGTTGTAGTTGAAGATATGATATTTGTTGACACTGAACATGTAATCACGAACATGTGTTTTCACAAGTATTTCTTATATTTTGTACTAAAATTGATAACTGTAACTAAATCATATAAGTACGTAATCGTATGGTTAGTAAGCTATACTGTTTAATTTCAGTGATATGTTAGTCTGAAAAATGGGAAATGTGTTCTAAAGGGATGTTCTGTTGTGTTCATCAGAGCACCAATTGAACTTCTTAATACGACTTTGAAACCACTTGAATAATTGATTCGATTTATCACTGAAATACTTGTTACTGTGTTTATAAACCGTATGATCGCTTGATTTTGAATAGAACAGTGATTATGTGTAGAATTTTAAGAGTTTAAAATTTTGGAAACAACCTTTAAGCAATTTTAGCGTAAGCATTAACAACTACAAATCTTCTATGAACAGTTAATACCAGTTTCTCATCTCACTTCATATATAATGGTGGGTCGTTCTGATCACGAACTACAGTGGGATTCCGCTAAAAAAAACTGGACTTAAAAATAAATCATAAATCAAAATAATTCGCATTGGTTTTTCCATATCTGCTGCAACGAGGCTTAAAACCCAATGACCATTGCAACCACAATCCACACGGGAATTCCATGCGTGTTAAAACCAGATGTGTTGCTACTTCTTATGCACTTTTAATGTGCTCCTTAGTTTGTTTTTGTCACTGAAAAATAACTTATTCACATCTGTATAAACAACTATCAGCTGATTTATATTTTTCTGCAATTTCATTTTTAAACCTTTCTTCACATTCTTTCCTGGCTGAGGTTATCACTTTGCATTTCTCTGTATTATTTCCATGTTGATACTGTCACTTTGTTTTTCTCTGTATTATTTCCATGTTGATACTGTCACTTTGTTTTTCTCTGTATTATTTCCATGTTGATACTGTCACTTTGCATTTCTCTGTATTATTTTCATGTTGATACTGTCATTTTGTTTTTCTCTGTATTATTTCCATGTTGATACTGTCACTTTGTTTTTCTCTGTATTATTTCCATGTTGATACTGTCACTTTCTTTTTTCTCTGAATTATTTCCATGTTGATACTGTCACTTTGTTTTTCTCTGTATTGTTTCCATGTTGATACTGTCACTTTGTTTTTCTCTGTATTATTTCCATGTTGATACTGTCACTTTGTTTTTCTCTGTATTATTTCCATGTTGATACTGTCACTTTGTTTTTCTCTGTATTATTTCCATGTTGATACTGTCACTTTCTTTTTTCTTTGTATTATTTCCATGTTGACATTACCATTTTTGTTTTGCTCTGTACTATTTTCGTTTTAATATTATCACTTTGTCTTTCTCTGTATTATTTTCGTTTTAATATTATCACTTTGTCTTTCTCTGTATTATTTTCATGTTGGTATTACCACTTTGTTTTTTTCTGTATTATTTCAACACTGACGTTGTCACTGTTTTACTCGCTTTTAGTTTGTCTGGCTGCTTATTATACGTCCGTATTAGACATTCTGTCACATTCCAACATGTTCACTTCCTTTATGTCAGGATAAGCCGATGACAAAAGCCGCTGTCCCAAAGACGTCACTAAAAATCACGTATTTTGTTAATTTCACAGCTCAACTATAATAGATTTATTTGCTAACTAATATTTATAGCATTAAAACTTCCTGCATGTTTTTAATCCTTGTTGTTGAACGTATGAATAGTTCTTCAACCAACCGAATGTGAATTCTATGTAATGAGAATCATTACACATCAGTTAAAATAAGTCTTGCTAACAGTAACTCACGAGGTTCTTCATTCAGTATAATATAATTTTATTTTCACAGTTAATTTGCAGTACTTTTCAAATGATAATATTGATTTGTTTTTGAGTATAATGCGAATTACTCGAATGATATAAATGTTGCAGTAATATCTGTGGAGTTTTAGTGATAGTAATATATGACACAATGTTTCGTGTTTAATCGACAAAAAGTGACTGTTGCATAGTTATTAGTTATCATATTTGAAAAGAATGTTGTGATTCGCAAAATAAATAGCATTTATTTGCAAACTTTTTTGACATTCTTTTTACAATCATTTGAACTTTGCTTCGGTATATTTTTTCTGTCAATTACCAGTTTTGTTCTCATTCTCTGTTGTTTACAGAATGAAGAATAATTTTGTTAATATTCGTGATAACCTTCAGTATCATAAATATTTTTAAACATTTCTATGTATGTGTAAAATTTTTCGATATTTTTTTTTCTGTAACATTTTTTTAAAACTAATACTATATTAAATATAATAATCTAACGAATAATCTAACTAATCTTTACAAATCATAACGATAGAAGTTTTTATTTTAATGTGTCAATCGCTTAAAACCAATTTTATATATATTTCATTTGCAGAAATATTCGACGCAACTAACCCACTAGTGACTGTGTGTGTGAAAGTTATCGAAAACTAGGAAGGTAAAATTCCACAATAATGAAAGACCATCGTCTATGTTAAACTATCTGGCAACTTGTCTCATTTCAAAAACTTTCTTTAGTACTGATCAAACTCTTAGGAAATGGTGAGTTGACGAGAATTATACCAGGTGTCACTGCATTATGACCAGAAGTGTCAAATCAAATGCAATGGACCAATCAAAACAAGAGGATGTCCCGCGAGAACTCGTCTTTTCTAAGGTTGGTGAGATATATTTTATAACATGACAGCACTACCAAAAATCAACTAAGAAAAATATAACTGTAAAAGTAAATAATAACCCAGAAATTTGTTTTTTGTTTTGTTTTTGTCAGAAACAGAAAGAGGTTCTTCGAAAGCGCTGAAACTTTTGAGACTTTCTTTATTTCCTATATAATGTTTATCTTGTTATTTTGGCATTTATTTCTGATGAATTGCGTATACAAAAAGGGAATTGAAGATGGTTAGTAAAACTATACAGAATTAATTTACTAAATGTTGTCTACAAACAAATCAACAGTTGAAGTATTGAAAGTTCAACACTAGTGTTCGCAATTTTGCCAAAGTCTTGTTTGTTTGGAATTAAACACAAAGTTACACAATGGGCTATCTGTGCTCTGCCAATCCCGGTGTTCTAGTACTTTGTTACAAATGTGTTATTTAAAGAAACGAAAGAGAAACAGCAAACGTAAAATATTGACATGAAAAAGTTCCGCCCTCTGATTATGGAATGGTGATAGCTCGCGCACCTCGTTAAAAACATGGTATTACCGATCTGTATGCATACCTACCTATAGCCTTGCACATGCAAGTGTAACCTTTAAAAGGTACCCCTGCTAACTTGGCGATACAGGACCGATTTAGGCGATCCCAAGAAACAGCATTGAAACTTCAGTGATACAAAATGATATTATACATGTTTATGAAACATACGGTACAAGTTAACATAAAACACGAAAATAGTTTAATATTCAGAATGTATTGATATTAAAACCGTATGAGGGAATGTCCTACAAAGCTGTGTATGTTGTTTTTTGTAACAAAGCCACATCGGGCCATCTGCTTTGTTCACCGAGGGGACTCGAACCCCTGATTTTAGCGCTGTAATTCCGTAGACTTGCAGCTGTCCTACAGGGGGACACCACAAAGTTCTGTTTTACATGATGTTAAGCGCAAAGCTAGACAATGGGTAATCTATGCTATGCCTACCACGGATATGGAAATCCGGTTTTAGCATTATAAAATTTGGGACTTACCCCTGAGCCACTGGGAGTACCCACAAAGGACATCAGTAACAATCCTGGAGAAACACGTCACTCACACTTGTCACTGTTTAAGTAATTCCCTAAGAGATTTGATAGACATCTTTTTTACAATTATTTTTTTATTGTAAACTGTATTGCCTGTATTTTTATTGTGTTCCCTAGTGCATAATTATTTTTAATTTGCTAGCGTAAAAATATTTTAGTTGTGGATATAGTTTCGTCTAAGATCTACCGGTTCGAAAAAATATTTTAAAGTTTTATTATAAATAATTCTCTGCTCATATTACTGTGACTAATTTTCAAGTTTTGATAAATTTAAAGAGGGGAACTTGTCCTGAAAGAAGAAAAATCATCTTTGACGTAAGTTACGTAAATACTTAACAACAAGTCATGGACTAAATAGTTCATTTATGAAACGTAACTCTTCTTTCCGAATAAAACAGTTGTAAAAATTAACTATGTGGTGGGAGAAAGTAAAATATGCGGACAAAATTCTGTTTTAGAAATGAACAATCCCGTAACATGACTAAAGGAGATAGATGAATAGGCATGTTAAGACTTAATGCGATTAGACCTGTTCCTTTAGTTTACCTATATAACTGACTCACGTGGAACGCTTATCGTTAATTTGGTTACAAGCAATACATGAATGGATTTGTTACTTAAGTTTGGCAAGTAGAGCTTAGTGTGAATCCTTCATTTGGCAGAACAGTGGGTCTGCACAGTTGATTTGTCTAAATAAAATATGAGGATAGACCAGTCTGTCAATTACATGTCTTTCTATGGAACTACTAATGCAATTAATGTGCATATTTAATTTCTAAAGGAACAGGTATGTTTGCTGGCTTGTGTATTTCCTTTCGTTAGATCTACCAGAATAGTGAGAGTGTACCCCAAATTTATCAATAAAAACTGTAACACAGAATGCGTTTATTTTATCCGGCCATATGTAGCTGAAGAATAGGTACGTTTAAAATTTGGCTTGATTTGCCATAGAATGTCTCACTATGTTGCTGCCCTTAGTGCTGTAACAAAAATAAGCTTTGTTATGTATTAACAGAGTAAATCTTAAAAGTGACTATTTTTTGGAAGTATTAAATCAGAAATAATGTTTTTGGCTCTCTGTCTTTCCCTAAAACAGTTGCTTTGATAATTTTTTTTACCGAAAGATTTATCTATGTATTTATAATTTTTTCGTTTAAGTTTTCTGTGCTTATGTTTTTAAAAACGGGCGTTTTTCCACACCTAGAAACGCCAACAAAACTGCACTTGAAATATTGTCTTATGTGATGATATTTTATCGTTTTAAAGGATCGGCTTAGTTTATTTCTAATCTACGTTTTATGATCTGATGGTTTTATTCATTATTAAATAAGATATAGACACAGTTTCTGTCACATAAGCATTATTTGTTAGATTATGTAAGGAGCACATCAAATAACATCGAAACCCCAAGTTGCTTAGCGGTAAGTCAGAAGGCTAATAACGCTACAAACCAGAGTTCGATACTTGTGGTCAGCACAGTACGAATAGCCCATTGTGTAGCTTTGTGCTTATCAATAAACATACAAACAAACACGTGCTTCAATGTGACAAAGTAAACTATTTAACTAAAATATCAAACATGCAATACTGAAGATTAATCGCATTTTGTAAGAACGATATTCTAGGTCGAGTGTGGTTTTTGAACTACCTTATCCAATAGCAATCATTCTCAGTCACGATTACATACTATTGCCAGACATACGCAATTTCCGATTTCTTTTGCGAAGAAAGGTGAAGTTAGTTTTAGACCATACAGTTTGGAAACTTTCTGCGTATTCTGCACTGTACGAGAACGTCGGTTTCCGATACAGTGGGCCCGGCATGGCCAGGTGGTTAGGGCGCTCGACTCGCAGTCAGTGGGTTGCGGGTTCGAATCCCCGTCCCACTAAACATGCTCGCCCTTTCAGCCGTGGGAGCGTTACAAT